GTATAGTATAGTATAGTATAGTATAGTATAGTATAGTATAGTATAGTATAGTATAGTGGCAACATGGGTAGAGGGGTTTAAGAGGGTGTAGTATGATGTAATCTGGGGTTAAGAGAGTACTACTTTAATGGTTGAGTATATGCACAACCACTAGAGGGCAATACTAGAGTTATAATCAATATTTGGAGTATTCTCTAATTTTCTTGAGAGTACAAGTCTTAAAGCAACATCAACACACTTAATCAGTGTTTTATAAATGTAAAAATAAAAACACAAGGTAGATCGGAGCTTGTTCACAACATAATTCAATTCAAATTGAAAAATAAGATACATTTTTAAGATTTGACTTGAACTTCTGTAATAATTATCACAAATAAAACAATTGTACACATGATTGGCAGAAAACAATTGCAAATCTGATATTTCTGTGTGGAATCTTGAGCGTGAAACACTTTCAATAAGAAAAGGGTTTTTTAAGCAAGACAGAGGAATAAATGGAATGCTTGAATTAATGAGAAATAATTTTCTATTAACAGCTCAGGATACATAAAATATAAATATAAATCTGCTTGTGCTACATCATCAATGCTTACTGTTTATATTAACTTGACCCGTGGCAGTGATTTGAGTTTTTTTTGATAAATAGTTTTATAAGTAATACAAAATACTTCCATCTAATTCAGGATGTGCTTAAAAACCAGAACAGAGAATTTAAGTGGTTTGTTTTCAGTAGTTTATCAGAAATAAAGAAGGAAATTAAAAGGCTAGCTTTTTTGGAAACTTTGCGGAAGCGCAGATTTTCTTTTCTTTTTTTTTTTGTTTTAATGAGGAGACATCTTTGGAAATGGAATGAAGGTAGGTTGGTGAGGTCTGTTTAGGTGAGTCATTGCTCCGAGAGGCTTGGGGTTTTTAAGACAAGCGCTTTGTCATCGCGGTCGGGTGAGGCAAGGAAACCACAATGACAATCAGAAAACTGAGAGTCAAGCAGTCCAAAAGGTAAACAAGGTCCAAAGTGTCAAGTCTTTTCATTCAGCTGTGTGGTTTTTTTTTGGTGCAAATTGCAGCGACTGGTTAAAACCAAACCAACACTGTCTGCAGGAGAATAAATTCCCCTTTTAACACCTGAAATAATGAGCTGCATCAAACTCTGTACAGAGCATTACAAAAGTCCTGAAGTATATTATTGTAAGTTTTAAGCCATTTTGAGGTATTCTTTTTTTTACAAATATAAAGAACATTTCCCTTTGATTCATAAAATTGGTAATACCTCAAGACAAAGAGTAAAACGTTCTCCACATTTCTCTATTTGACAATCAAATGGAAAATGCCATGAACCAGCAGCTGCAGGAATATGCATTAATTATAGGAGCAAATTAAATATAATGATATGATTTGATAATATTGTCTCAGTACTTATTTTCTGATTCAAGGAAAATACAAGCCCCCTGAAAAATGAAGAAAGTTTTGGTTATTTACAGGAATCTTGCTGTGGATTCATTGTCTCAGTACAATAACAAGTATGCCACTTGGGCATACTTAGGCTACAATAAATCATAAAGTCGTTACAGTGAATGATAAAAATTACAGTGCAGTTTCTTAGTCGATGCAGCCTCAGGCAGCATGACTTCTTCTGCTGGGTTTGGTTCTACAGTGTATGCTTTCCTGTGTCTCGGTTTGAGCTGGATAGATCCTCCTCTGAGGTCACAAACCTGAGACCCCCAGAGCAAGGCAAACGAAGAGGGATTTGGGACAGAAGTGCGTCTATGTGAGGAGATAAAGAGTTCAGAGGGCAGTCTGAGGAGGTGTATTTGGTGAACACCTGCAGCTGATCTGGTTGCAGATTTGCCTCGCTGCAGACCCGCTGACACAAGGTGCTGACGCTGTGGCACGTTTTCGACTTCATCTGACTCAGCTGGTTCTTTTCCATGATCAGTTTCTCCTTTTCTGTTTTCTGGAACACACGCAGCAGAAGCCACCATCATCAACTAACCATCAGCTTRAAAAAAGAATAAATATTCCATTAGAGAGAAAAAAAAACAATGCTCACAAGTTTGTTGATTTCACACTGCAGGTTATAGATGCAGTCCAGTTTTCTCTTGCGGCAGCGCTGAGCGGCGAGGCGGTTCTTGCTGCGCCGCCTCATGTCGTGGACAAAATCCAGCTGTTCCCGCGTGAAGGTCTGCTGCTTCAGCAGATGTTGGAAGTCGTTCCGGCTCAGATTCACTATCCAGTCCACAGGGTACGGCAGCTGCACCTGAAAGAAATCRCAGCAGAGGTGCATAAATAAAGCAGCATCTTCGCTGATAGGTTTGGTCTAATGTAATAATATTGTAAAAAACGAAAAGGAAACATTTTTCCATTACATAATGTTTAAATCACTTCAAGGAGATTATTAGATGAAATGAAATTCAATAAGTAAAATCATGAAACAATGCACAGAAATGTGTGAGCTGCACATGAAGTGTGCAGAGTTAAACATTTTCCCCAAGCTGGTAATTATTAACTTTAAGAAAACTGCAAATGTGCAAATGCAAAATGTCATCTYGCCAGTTTAAYTAYGCCACAAAAATCTGTAAAGGTTTGCACGTCGACTAAATGAAACAATTTCCTTACCCTTGACATGACCRTCGCTCTGTCATCACTTATCACTTATCTGTGCTTTCACAATAATCCATCAGAACACTAACCTGGATAATAACAGATTTCCGAGGCTGTGGTTTGACCCATAATTGTTACAAACCCAACAAAGCTGAGCTGTGAATTTTGAGCTTCAGCTGGACTCTGAACCAGCGAGCAGACATATCTCCACCAGGTGAATATTTAACTATGATAAACYTACTTTACATCAACGTAGGTGCTCATTTGTTTCAGATAAAATGTATCTAAAACTCTTATCTAAAAGAAACCTATTAAGTTAATAGAGGTGGAAGTGATTTCTGATGATCTATTTGTTTATTACTGGAACATTGTAAACTTCGGTGGTGATAGCAGACCAAAAACAAACAAACAAAMAAAAAAAAMCCCAAACAGAAACAGACTTGCTCCACAGTTGATGTCCTCACCTGCCTAGCTCTCTCTCTTGTGAAGAATTCACACTCTGTTTCTGTCTCAGAGTCTCCGTCCTCCCCCGAGTTCAGAGACGAAACCCCCGACTGAGACGCCGCTTCACACTCAGATATCCCCGCCGGATTGAAGGCGCAGCTTCCTTGGTCCTGATCCAGTAAAAAGGAGCAGTTATTTTTCGTGGAGCAGAAGTTGTCCCGAAGCTTCGAATACTCTACAGATGGCCACTGGACCTGTCTGCCGCTTGCATCGGTGGAGTATCCCACCTCAGGGTCCTGGATGCTTTGCTGAGAGGTGATTCTTTCTCTATTTTCAACAAGAACGGCCGCTCTTTCCATGTTGCCCRTTTGCTTTCCATTTCCTCCATCTTGACTGACGCTTTGTGTCCATTTCGCTTCAGCTTCTATTGGCACATTTGGATGAAAAGCACCTGGATCTGCTGCACCGAGGTTTCTTGCTCCCTGATTTTTTGTATTGTTGACCATCTTCTCACGCCCCRATGGCCTACAGATTGCATGGCTGTCACTGAAGTCTTCCAAAGGGCAAGTGGGTGACATCTCTGCTGGACTCTCACCCAGTCTTGGGTTTGGTTCTGAGGCGACACTCCTCACACAAAGAGTGTCTGAAGAGCTCATTTCCTTCATCTTCCTAATGTTATCTGATGCATTTTCATCAAAATTTTCCTCTCTTTTTAGTGCATTTTTCGTAACGCTCTCAGCTGCCCATGTGACCCCAGAATTGTTTTCTCGTGGCTCTTTGGCATCTCCTCTTATCCATTTGTTGGAAGCTGAGTTTCCAAGRACCACCGTTTTGATTTTGCACTGTGCACTGCTGGGGCACGGAAAGCAGGAGAGGAAGCAGCCATCCTCAATCACCGGCTTCACAGGATCAGCCGGACTTCTCTCAGTGACAAGTTCTTTCTTGCAGGCCTGTTGGAACTTGCGATACTTTGGACACTGTTGGATAATGCCATCCATGTCTTCAACCGCTGTCCCGAAAGACTTGGCATTATTCAGACTTCCTGCTATCTTGCTCGCTGATTTGCTGCAGTCCCGAGTCGCGTCCTGCTGAGATGATGAGTCAGCAACTGGTTTTACTTCTTTGTCATCCAGCGGCACTTCGTCAGAGTCTGTGCCTCCTTTTTCCGCTGACACTTGCCTCTTGCATGTCTTCTTACAACAGGTCTTTCTCACAAAGGGGGCCGAGCCTTCGTTACTGGAAAAGAACTTCGGTAGGAGGAAATCAAAGCATGCCTCGTCTAGGTCTCTGAAACCGAGCATGGAGGCTGCATTTTGGATTTCTAACACATCTTCTTTCCTAAAGTGGAGCTTCGAGGTGTAGGCAAATTTCAGCAAGGGCTCAAAGCCAGAAACAGTCACCTGGTAAAGATAACAAAGGAGAYACATAAGCACTTTTCAGACAGAGGCTCAGTTGTTCAGACTGTTTCATTTAGTTAATTGTGTTAAGTGTGTGAGTTTTTATAAGCTGGCAGAATCAACAACACATAAAAAAATCCCTGGCACTGGTTGCTCAGGAAATAAAGCTGTTAGTTTCTTTTCTCACTTCATTTTCCAACACAAGTGTGGCTGTGACGAAGCACCTCAGCAACGTCTCACCTCTTCTGGCAAGGTGATGACCGCTCCGGGCTGCACCAGGGAAGAGATCCTCTGCGCGAAGTACTCGCTGCAGGARGCCAGCACCGAGCGGTGGGCTCTGAAGCTCTGGGCCTCCACCACCACGGTTACGTCGCACAGCAAGTCCCGGCAGCGCTGCTCGTTCAGCCACCGCAGCACATGAGAGGAATGCGCCGTGGACTCGAACGTAAACACGGACGACCTCGGGGCAGACATCTGAGACATCTTGTGTGGACACAACAACATTCCCACCCACTTGTTAAACAAACCCCCTTCAGTCACAGATAATACAAATATACTTTCAAGTTATAAAACGAAAATGTTCCTACCTTACAGAACTGCCTTCGCTCACGTCTCCTTGAGTGTCAAGGAAAGTTCCTGCTCCCTTGTGGACATGGATGTTGCTAAATGGAATGCCGTCCGACCAGGCTGCTTCTCAGAAAGCCTTATCTCTACTCAGCTACAAACTAAAAATTGAGCTTGACTCAGTCATATGGCCTGTGAGTGCATCTGAGAGGGGAGGGCAGGCGTTCAGAGAGCCTGTGTGTGTGTGTTGTAACAACCATGGGTGTAACAAAGCAGCGTTGACTCATGCGCTCTGACTGAGAAAGGATGAGTAAGCAGTTTTTTTTGCCGTCCCGTCCAATCCCACCCCTGGATCTGTCTGGTAAACTCAGTTTTTTTTTTTTCCAGGGAAAACCCTTTGACACATTAGAAGGGATTTAAGAAGGCAGGGGAATTAAAGTGTGTGCTTAAGCACCATGTTGTCTGTTGTTTGTGTCTTTAAATTTTCAGGTATTCACATGGCAAACAAAAGAGCTTTGTGGACAAGTTGTGTGAAATGAAAAGGAACTACTCATGACTTGTTGCTTTGGAGGCAAATAAGTAAAAAAAGCAAAGATTTGTGAAACAATGCAACACAAATTCACATCAAAATTCCCATATTTTATAACATTTGAGGACAAATGTCCCTTTATGTAACTGAATGGTTGCATATAAAGGACAGTGTCTTTAAAAGTAAAGCAGTTTTAACAGAAAGAGCTAAAAGAAAAGTAAACTGAAGTTGCCAGCGTCACATGATTTGGAAGAAGGAAGCTGGTCAAACTGGCCAGTCAAGTGACGGTTTCATAATCCCAGAATGAACTAATCTTGTTGTTTAAAAAAAACACTATCTATTTCCTTTTTTTGCGTAAGGCCAGCTAAGAGGACACATCACAACAGTGTTTACTTAGAGAAATGAAACTAAGGAAGTGATGCTGGTGTTACAATAAAATGCCTTTTTATTATCAGAGGACAATAAGCTTATCTTGTTGTATACTTCCCTGTCTACAGGTCAACACTACACAACAAACACTCCTAATCCAAAAAGAATGATACCAATAATCCTATTAATATTAATATACAAATCTTCCAGTGTTGTTTAGATATTTTCATCACTCTACTTCTTTGGTTATTAGTTCAAACAATTATAATAACTAGATCTCTGGCACCGTTTTCAAAGTTCTTTCAACACTTCCTAAAATACAAGTTTTGGACCATGTTGCACCACCTTTAGCTCCCTCAGGGTAAAAGGTTTGCCCTGAGACTGATATAGGAAAATCAGATAACACAGTAACTGAACAAACGTATAGTATTAGGTGTTTCAATGATGACCAGAAAGGTTAAGCAAACAGAGCACCCAGAAAAACAGCATTGGTGTCATTACTGTCCTGATAAGCGTTCACATGTCTGTGGCTCAACACATGACTCAGACTATGAACAGGCACAGCTCCTTTCTGTGTAATTAGCTGATTCAYAGAGTGCGCCTTTGTTTCTAGTGGCCGACCTTGTGTCACCTGGACGTCTGGTGGTCTCTGGTTTTGGAGAGGTCAAAGGTCACAAGGAGTCTTGCCTCGTTCGACCGGTCGGGCGGAGCCTCTCCAGCTGCTGGCTGCGCTCTCTGTGGACCGTCACCAAGGCACGGTTCTCCTCTGTCAGCCGCCGGAACTCCTCCTCCAGGCGAGCGATTTCCATGGCCACYTTCTCATCCTCCAACCGCTCAGCCAGCAACTTACGCCTAAGCATAAGAAAAGATATTTTAGGCACTAGTAATAGARATGTTTCACATTTGGTGGGATTTCTGTGCTAGTGAATTGTTCATGAATGTAATAGTTTTTTCCAGAAAACCCAAACAAACGGTTTCTTGTTCAGGGAAGAATGGTTATTCTCACATTTTGGAGAGATTCTTAACCCATGGGCCGTCGCCCACAATTGGGCCATGAGYGCCACTTTGAGGGCCTCAAAAGAACAACAGTTTWTAACTTTGGGCCGCAGAGGGCTGCGGGACTCATTGATTTTGAATAAGTTGCAATACACCTTCTCACCACTAGTAGCAGTAGTGCGCCACTCAGATGTTTAACAACTTTTTTCATATGTAGAAGAAGAACCTTAGAAACCTTTCGAGAATGGAAACGTATTTTAAAGGCACAGTGTGTAGGATTTTGTCAATTCTTTTAGCCGAAATTGAGATAA